TACGTCATGGCGAACGATGTTTCTCTTGTTGAAGTCCTCGATGTGGTCCTATAGGCCCATAGCACATTGAGTAACTCCTCGGTCCACTATTCTTTTGCCTTTTTCAGTCTCTTTTTTATTCCAGCTAACACTTTCTTGTTTGAGACTTTTGCCTGCCCATTACTTTGGGAGTAGGCTGGCGTGGAATAATAATTGCGTATTCCAAATTTTGGACAAAATTCTCTGAAAGGATCACTATTGAATTGAGTGCCATTGTCCGAGATAATGGCCCGAGGAATTCCAAACCGAATGATATGTTCTGGCATACAAATTTCTTCGTCTCGATGTCCTGAATACTACTCCAGGGTTCTGCTTCGATCCACTTTGTGAAATAATCAGTGGCTACCAGGAAGAATTTCTTGTTCAAAGAGGCCCTCAGGAGGGGTCCTACGATATTCATGCCCCATTGAGAGAATCGCTAGGGACTTGTCAATATTTTTAGATTTCCTGCTAGTTGTCGGATGATAGGAGCAAATTTCTGACACTTGTCACATTTTCGAATGTAACTTTTAGCATCCTTTTGCAAGTTACCTCTGAAACCAATGTCGAGGCTAGACAAGCAAACACATCGGCGTGGGTATTGTGATTTCTCGAAATCTGGAAGACTTCCACTTTTTTTAACTTCTCGATCCTGGATTTTGCCTTCTGATGGTATGCCTTCATCCTACTCTCTCGAAGCTCGAAGTCACCGTTGATCTAATTCACTACCAGCTAGGAGTCACAAAAAACATGGAGGTGCCTAATCCTGATTGAGTACGCAATATCGAGTCTTATTAATAGCGCCTCGTACTCGACCTCATTATTGGATGCTTTGAACCCCAATCTGATAGCTTGCTCTATTATGAATCCTGCTGAACTTTCTAGTACCACACCTATCCCTGCCCCCCTTTACGTTCGAGGACCCATCAATATGAGGGTTCTAAATGTCATCCTCAAAATCTTTCATCTCTCGTAGGGGCTCGAACACTAAGAACTCGACAATAAAATTGGCAAGGACCTGTCCCTTAATCAAAGTACGAGGATTGTACCTTATTTTGAACTCCCCGAGTTCGACAGCTCACTTGGCAACCCTTCCTAACATGTCAACTTTATGAAGAATGGGCTTGAGAGGCCGATCAATCAAGACTTCTATGGCGTACGCCTGGAAATAGTGTCTGAGCTTCCTCGCCGAAACTACTAATGCTAGAACAAGTTTCTCCATCAGTAAGTATCGTGTTTCGGTGTCAAGCAAGGTCGTGCTCATGAAATAGATGGGCCTTTGTGCCCCCTCGCTTTCTCTTGTTAGGGCTCCACTAACAGCTTTTTCTGAGACAGATAGATAAAGGTTGAGTATTTCCCCATCCGCTGAGACAAAGGTTGGAGGACACTTCAAGTACTCCTTAATCCCCTCAAGCGCTCAGCCACATTCCTCATCTCATGTTCCCTTTGCTACCCCCTTAAGCTTGGCGAAGAACGGTTTGCACCTATCAGAGGACTTGAAGATAAATCGGTTGAGAACCGCTAGCATCCCAGTTAGCTTCTGGATGTCTTTGGTGGTCCTCGACGCCTGGATGTTCTGCACATCTTGTATCTGCTCGAGGTTGGCCTCAATGCTCCTATGGGTAACTAAGTACCCCAAAAATTTACCCAAGCTTACTCCAAAAGTGCACTTCGAGGCATTAAGCTTCAGACCGTAGCTTCGAAGCATGGCAAACGTGGTCCTGAGATCCCCAATGTGGTCGAAACCCTCCTTACTTTTCGCTAGCATATCATCAATGTAAACCTCCATCGTCACTTTGAGTTGCCGCTTAAAAATCTTGTTGATCAAGCATTGATAAGTAGCTCCAGTATTTTTCAACCCAAATGGCATCACCATGTAGCAATAGATACCTTGGGACGTAATGAACGTCATTATCTAAATTATTATAATTAAGGATTAATAGCATTTTAAGTTCTTAAGGTATGCTCGTTTTATCAATTTAGTTCTCATTATATTAATTTTATCAATTTTGTCTCTAAAGTTTCAATTCGCATTATTTTGATTTCTAATCAAACAATTTGTTAAGTTTTTTTATAGAAATAACTACGTGATATTTTTTCAGACGGTATCACGCAATCATTTCATCAAATACTTAACAGTTCGTCTATGTATGGACCATTTAAACATGAATTGCATACTTTAGAGATCAAATTGACAAAATTGATACTTTACTAACTAAATTGACAAAACGTGCATACTTTAGAAACAAAAAATATTATTATATAATTAAAGGAAAATTGGAAGTCGGTAAAAAAATTTAAACTTAATTAAAAAAACTTATTCAACCCTAAATGCATTTTTTTTTGTGAAAAGACTAGAAAGTCATTCATTACTCTCTCTCTCCCTCCATTACTCTCTCATCTATATTTTCTCTCTATCTCTCTTCTCGTTACTCTATCTATCTTCTATTTTCTCTCTTTCTCTTTCTCTCTTTGATAATTTATTTTCTTTTCAAATATGTAAAAATTTAATTTTTTCATCTCTCTCCTTTATGTTCTATCTCTCTCCCCCTTATTTTTTCTCATGGTTACTCTCTCTCTCCTTATATCAACGTTACAACAACACAATTACACCAATTAGTTACAGTTGTCCTATAATACACTAAACAGTTATTCATGTGTTCTAATAAACTAAACAATTATACCAAATAATTACACGAAATTATATCACCAATCTAATTGTCATTCAGTTGTTTATATAAACGACAAAATTACACCATTTAGTATCATGATATAGTTATACTAATTATATACACTATATTGGATTTATCATTACATAAAAGAGTGTACCATTACACCAAATTTGGTGTAATCATGTCGTGATACTAAATTGTGCAACTCTTTGATTTATTTAAACAACTGAATGACAAATTAAATTGGCTTTATAATTTTATGTAATTGTTTGGTGTAACTATTTGGTTTATTAAAACACATGAGCAACTATTTGGTATATTATAAGATAATTGTAACTAATTTATGCAATTGATTGGCGTAATTGTGTTGCTATAATATTGATATAAGGAGAGAAAGAGTAACCAGGAGAGAAAATAAGGGGAGAGAGAAAAAAATGAGAGAAATGAAAAAAAATCAAATTAAATGTTTACATATTTGAAAAAAAATTGTCAATAGGGGAGAGAGAGAATAGGGGATAGATAGAGAGAGTAACGAGCTAGAAACAGAGAGAGAGAGTGAGAGAATAATGGAAAGAGAGTAACGGTGTAACAAATAGAGGGACAGAGAGAGTGAAAAAATAAGAATTATCCATAATTTAAAGAAAAGTAAATAGGTAAAATAAATAAAAGATTATTTGAATTTTGAACCTAATCACAAAATATTTTATTAAAATTGAACTTAATAGAATAAATAACTTATCCATACACTTCCTCTCAAATAAGTCTAAAAAATATATCCACACCCAAAAAAATCTAGCTTTTATTTTTTGATATAATTACTTTAATTTTTTAATAAATTTTAAAAAATATTATCAAATGGTACATTAGATTCAAGTTTTCTATCAAAATTAAATATTTGGTCAATTTTACTGCCTTCCTATTTAATTTCTAGTGCAAGGTTCTAGTTCTACTAATAATATTATTTTTTTTGTCATGAATTTCCTCCTTATCATGACCTGACCATGTTAGTCGAACAGTTGCCTCCTCAACCAAGAGACCAAAGAAGTTGGTTTCTGTAGGCCCTTCCATGAAATTTCTTGATGTAGCTCTTTTAATAGACTATTTTGAGGTTTTTATTTCATTGTCCCACATCAAGAGAGGTACTCATGAAAAAAAACATTCTGGAAAAACGTCAACCTCAAATTATTCAATTTTTTGGATGTCTGTGTGGGCCTTGGACGAAAAAATAAATTTTAAGGCAACCAGAGACATAGTAGTTTGAACCGTTTTGAATGAGTGTAAGGTTCATTTCCTGAACACGATGAATACTCATCACACTGGGTGCTACCGTGGTAACAAGAGAGACCAAGCATTGATAATTGAGAGGTTCTCGTTCCTAGTCACAGAGGAAGATAGGTCAAATGGCAAGGCAAAAGGCCATAAGCTTGTTTGGCTACTCACGGAGTATGGGTTTTAGTTGAAATGGTACTTTAATACTACAATTTGTTCCAGCTAAGACCTGAAATGAAGAATCCAATGATATAATAAAATATGAAAGAAAAATATGCTTTGAGGCTGTGAGATACGCGGACAGGGAGTATGCAGCCAAACAACTGTAAGAGCTCCCAATAGTGATAGCTGAACTAATCAGATGAGCCGCCCAAACTTGGAGTTGACATCTCAATCAAAAATCAACGTCAAAAGCAGAGGATCACAAACTGCAGCACAGCAAGGGGAGAACCAAGTGCTTACACGAAAGAAGTCATCAACCGAGCATAAAAGCTTCTTTAGTGTATCTAACTACAAAATAATGAGATTAGATCTTAAATTTTCTTATGGCACGGATTACTAAAGCTGCAGAGAATGAAATAAAATTAGAAGGAAAAAAAACAGATAAAACAAAGATTAAATATAATTTTGGTGATTGAAATATGCGCTAATTTTCAATTTGATTTACGATATTTCATTTCTATGAATTCAATCTCGAATGGTTCTAATTTTAATTAATTCAATGGTTAACTACAATTTATAATAGTAACAGAATTATCTCACGTGCCACTCCAGTAATGTAAACTTGAATATGGGAGGAAACTAACAAATCAGAAGCACCACATAATTCACGTATCGAACAATGTCATAACAAACTAGCACTTACCACAGAAAATTCTGCACATACATCTGAGTGATATGGACTTCACCTAACCAGAACATGAGAAAATGACATGCCAATATAGTCACTGTGACCATTGAGGGACGTCTATGCATGAGACGTCACATTTTACAGTTACATGTAACATACCCAATTTCCTGAGACCAAAAAGGAAGGAAGAACAGATTCTGATTGTCCAGGGTGTAGCAGAAAATAGAGCCAAGAGCCATACCTGAATTTCACATAGCATAAAAAGTCATCATCAAAGCAAACAAAATCAGGGAATACATTACCAGGAATTCGTACAACTTGATAAGGAATACATAACAAGGAATTTGTATAACAACTTAATCGCAAGAATGCACAAGCACAATCTGTCAGAGAGAGAGAGAAAGAATGGTGCCTTCATATGGAAAACTGCTATTCTAGCATACCCTATTCAGGTATGAAGCTCCTGCGACATCAGTCTGGCAGCAAATCTCTGAACGGTGCGCATGTTTTAAGTAGTGAAGGTATATACAACTTGTTTTATGTGAATTCAATTTAAATCATAGAGGGAAAACATAACATCAATTACAGTTAAAAGGATATCTTCTCTTCATACATGGGATGATTCAGCATCAGCAGATTATTGTTGTTTACGATAGCTCTAACTAATATTTCCTTTGCCTCCTCATGCTTTTTTTTCAGCATGTTGCATATCTGCAAAAGAAACAGCAGTGCTTCCCCTCATGTCTGTGTCCTGTTTTCTAATACTCCATATCTGGAATGTAGTAAAATAGAATGGATGCTTGTTTTGCAAGGGCAAAACAGCTCATCCATCTGAAGTAATGCAGATGTAAAAACTTATTCACCACATTACTGGCCATTTATAGTCCTACATAGTGAGATTGTCCATGTTCATGTAGACTCAATTGTTAAACAGGTCTGGTCAGCTAACCTAATTATCGTTCAAGGCCATTTGCTATAATGCATGCTAGCAATCACAAGTCCTATGGGTTCTATGATTCATTCTGAATCACATATTGCAGTTTCACAATACTTGATTCACATTACAGCCTTTTAGACTTGAGTAAAAGTCAACTGCGTATTAAACAAAACATAGCCATATAAAAGGAATAAACACTTACATCTTCAAGCTCCTTTGTGCATGCCTCAGCCTTCTCAACATGGCTATCATTTTCCATTGCCCAAGGGGTTTCCACTTCTGTCATGTTTACTTTGCGAGTAATATCAATTCCAGAGATATGATAATCACTGAATTCATTCTGGGTGCCTCCATGAGCCAGATCCTCATGGTTGCCGGCCTATAGAGATTCAAGCAAGAAAATTTTCCACATATCAGCCAGTTTTCTGCAAGTTTGTACAAACACTGGAGCTTCCGTCTTAAATAAGCAAATCCACAAACTGCTGTAGTATGGTACCTGTTTGTCAGAAACTATTTCTGAAGTTTCTATCAAAGGTCTGTAGAGTTTATGGTAGAGGAATGTCTAAGTGCAAGAAACAACTGAGATAGTTAAATTTGACCAAATAGACAGTAAATGGTATGACAAGGACCTGTTTTCACGAGGAGACTGCAAGAGGCGTTTTGATGGATTTAATGTCAGTGAATTCCCGATTGATTCCTACATAATAGTTAAATAGCAATAGCACACAAAAATAACTTTCAAAATGCTATGACAATCAATTTTATATGCAACTTCAAATTCATAGATGCCATGCTGTTGCAAATAAATTTCTGGGGAAAATAAATTGTCAAAGGAGAGAAAACCTCAAATGTTTTCCGCTTCAAAGGTGGGGTTGGTGGTGTTTGCTTCTCTTTATCAACTGAATGGGTTATATTGGATACTTCTCTTCGTTGTAAATCCATGTTTTGGTCTAAGCTTCTCAAGGATCTGCCATCTTTCTGAAATGTAGAATTTCGTGGAGCATGCTTTGCTCCATTACCCCTAATAGAACTCAATTAATTATTGCAATGATTAGTCAACAAAATTTCTACAAAGAGATGTTAAAAAAGAAGAACATTAAAATACTACCTTGAAAGGTTCAAGACAGTGAGATCAGGTGCCCTCCTAGCAGCTGTAACAGGAGAAATTTTGTTTCCCTCAACACAGGTGTTCTTGATGTTGTGAATGGATTTCTTGCCCAAAACCAGAAGTCTGGGATTTGCACTACGCTGTGAAGCAGATTTATTTGTCTGCTCACTTAAACTCGGAGCATTGATACCAGAGCTGTAGAAAATCAGGCCCATGAAATTTATACCGACTATCCAACATGCCCCACTTTTAATGTATCAAATAACAATCATTTAACTGTTTCTGAGCAGAATATAGGATTCAAAGAACACATGCAATGCTCAGCATAGAAGATGAACATTCAATAGATTATATCTATGAATGAAAGTATAAGATGATTAGCTTAAAATGAAAGCATGAAGTAGAAAGATGCAGAATCACATAAATTGCTGAATATTGTCTGAATGTTTGCATCCCCAACCTGATACTTCTTATTAGAAACAATTTGTATTCAAAATCAACCTAAAAATGTCTGGTGCTTTAGCTGAGAGCATGAGAAGCCAATCCAATTTAAGATTTCAGACATCGAGACTCTGTTTAAATAAAGTTCTGTTTCTTGAAAAAGTTGGCTTGAAATCAATGTTTAAGATCTTGGAAGCAAAGAGAAATGCCACATATGAATGCCTCACCTAAAAGCATCATGATCTTTAATGTTTGTTTCATTTATCCTTGAAGCAGTTTCTCCTTTTGTGACATCTCGATCATGGGGCCTTGAAGCACCAATCAAATTACTCCCAGATTGTGTACCATCAGCATTGAAGCCATCCCTGCTGTTGTATATACATGGTACACTATGTTAAGCACACTAACAATGGCCCAATACTTTAATGATCCAACCCCATTTGAAGTGTAAAACCTGAGTACAGACTGCAATTTCTAGCTACAAAAGCCTCACCCAATAATATTAAGGCCTTTAATGCTTGTCCGACTTCCTGACTGAACAGGTTCACCTCTGGCTGATGACTCTCTAGGTTGTAACCGTGAAATACCAACCAGTTTGCTCCCACTCTGTGCATCTTTAGCATCAGCATGCTCTCTGTTCAAAATTACATGGGAAATTGTGTAATTTAACTCTTGATCACTACACTTGCTATAAAAATCATATTTCACCTTCTTTCATCTGCAGGGCTTAGTAGCCTGGTTCCAATTTTTTTGCTCCCAAGCAAGGTCTTTGTCTGAGTTGATAATGCCTGCTCCAACTGAGATTCAGTTTCATCTGATCTCCTGAAAAACCTTGATCGGATAGCACCAGTCTCTCTTTCATTGACAGGCATCAAGCTACCAACTGGGGTTCCACTGCATTAATCATTAAGCACATGATGTCACATGCCATGGCCTATATCAGAGCTTTCTGATGGAATATACAACCAGCTCAATGAGCTGTAGTCATTATTCACCAAATTCTCAAAGTCAAAACAAATAGGTTCACAAATAGAAAAAATTGCTAAGGTTCTATATTAACATCTACTGCAGTTGCTGATGCATCTGAATTATTTTATGATTTCAGACTATCCATGTATTATAATCAAACTTATACTCCATATAGTGTCTGATATCACTGCTCTCTGTTCCGGGGTGTCACAGGTAAATCCAAACATTGCTCATCTTTTATGTTTAATTAATACAGCAACGTAATAGATATTATGACCTGCTCAACGGAGCCACAAAGTGCTCTGAAGTCGAATACTGGTTCTCAGTATAGGCCTTTGTGTCATGCATTGGTTCCCTTAGTTCATCTGTTCCAACTGTATTTTCGAACAGTGAACCGCTTTCTGCTGGTTCAGCGCCATCTTTATCCCCCAATAGTTCATGACTTTCACCCCCAAACTTACTTCTTTCACCATTGTCACTTGGAAAACTTCCCGTGTGTTGTAGAGCCAAGTGCTCCGACGGTGAATTTCCATCATTAGAGCCTGAAGTGGTCATCACTCCCACATTAACCTTTTGTTCACTATTCGAAATGCAACCCAATTTAGTTTGCTGAGAACTAACTTCTTCCTGGAACTCTGAAGCAGCATCTCGGGCTGATGAATTCTCAGACAGAGATTGGACAGATACATACTGCATGGTTCTCTGCTGAAAAGTTTCTTGGGAAGTAGTCTTCTCTGGATGGCACATGTCTTGGTCCATTTCTTCTGTGTTCATAGAAATCGTTTTTTCAGGTGAAGTTCTTTCCCCGTGTGATGCAACTTTATTTTCTAAGGTTGCAGATTTCGAAGGGCAATTGTCATCTGTTGCAGGTTTTGATGGGCCAATGCCATTTGCCACAGATTGTGAAGGGAGATTCTCAATTGTGGAAGCAAAATCCATAACACCACCAACCTCAATATCAGGTGTTGAAGAGATTTCACCACCTGATTCTGGAAGCTTCAGATTTGTACCATCTTCCAGTGCACCAATATTTTCAGTCAGGCGGATCCCAGAGCTTTGACACTCATTCTTGTTTGTAGATTCTTCCCTATCTTGGTTTTTGTTAGGTTGCTTTTCTTTTTTAGTTAAACTAGGCTCAAAACTGAAATTATCCAACCTGAAGAAAAAAGTGTCCCAGTTAATATGTGGTGTAATTCATATTGCAACTTCAGCAAACAGTCAAAACTAAACTAAATGATTCCTAATTTTTCTTAATGGCACAATAAAGGAATACAGAACTCCAAAAGGAACCTCGGAAACTTAAGTACACATACTCATTAAAATCAAACGAGAAGGCAAAGCTGTCAGCTTTCTCTTGATTATTTCCACTAACGGAATCTTCTTTAGCTCTTTCTTTGAGTTTTCCACCTTTTTTAAGTGGGGAAGACATATCAATATCAGACATGTCAACTCTGAATGATGATAACTTGTCAAAATCGCCATCAAAAGTGAAGTCCATGTCCCTGAAGAAAATTCAGCAGCAATACCAACAATCAATGTAATTGCTGGAGTGGACAGTTTGTTCTTCCTCAAAGTTCATCCCTTTGCAAAAATAATTAATTCTTATAAGGTATCACTGTTAACCACCAGGTACAGTGGATAAGTTTGGATAGTGAAGTATATTTAAAGAAGGTACAGAAACAACTAATGAGAAAGAGCAACCAAAATAATTCAAGACAGCTTTTTTCTTTTAGCATAGTTAACAAAGTTTCAGATGACAAATAACCTTCCGAATTAGTCTTTTACAGAAAAATAAGCAATGCAATGGCTTTGCTGAGCTTACTTGAATGCCTTATTCTTAACTTTTCCAACAGGCCCAAAGTCAAAATCCATTGTGTCATCTTTTGTCACATTCAATGACTTCCAGGAGCTAAGAAAATCCTTTCCAATGTCCAGATCTGTGTCAAGTATAACATAACAACTTCACATTGGAAAATAACTAAGACTACAATATTTTAGTGCTACAAAGTGTTGCCTTCGTAAAAATATTCCTATTAAACTGTTTAGCTATATGTCCAGGTTTCTTTTGGTCTCTGTGTAACTTCCTTAATGAACTTCATACTGGAAATTGGAAAATGAATAAGACTACCACATTTTAGTGCAACAAAGTGTTGGCTTTCTAAGAATACTGCTGTTAAACTGTTTAGCTACATGTCTAGTTTCCTTTTGGTCTCTGCGTCTGTGAGTGATGCATCTACTCTTTTTCGTTCATCTCTTCCATATAATTCCGTTCATGTACTCCTTAATTGACACTGAATTTTTATTCTTTCTACTCCAATCATGGCATTCTAATATTGCCAATTTCCAACGGCCTCAGCTTTTCACCATGTCATTATGAGACGAAGTATGTACAGTTTCTGCATTTACTATTGTCACAGTGAAATGGAGATCAGCTTGAACTGTATTTCAACATTTCTGTGTAGTAACTATCATATCAAGTGACTGAAAGATGTAAATTCTTAATTTCTTTTTTCCATAATGGATACAGGAGTTTTGAAGAGAATACCTAGCAGTGAAGATTTTTCTTTGGATTTGATGGATGACGAAGCTCCCTTCTGCGATTCTGCCATCTGCCAACCTAGAGTGATCGATTTAGTGCAATGACGGTTCACAAAAGTTTTAAAAAGCAAAAAGAAACCTAAATGAGATTAACAAAAATTACAAATTCTTAAAAGTTAATTATTGAAATCAAATGAAAAATGACTTGATCTGAAAGTATCATGAAACCTAAAATTTCAAATAGAAAACTATCTTTAACAATAAAACTAAAGCTCAAAACAATCAACAAGCTGAAACTCAGGTAACCTACGGAACAAATAGATCAATTTCAGAAAACTGAACAAAATAATCACTCAACGTTAAACAAACTCTTGGCTTAATCTACCAAATCAACTAGATATTAAAAGATTTAGCTATATCAATTTGATTTTACATTCATCCTAGCGTGATTTCGAATGCTACATTGAGCTTTGACGAATGAAAAGCAATCGAATTGCTTAAAATAGGCAAAACAAAAAAGTAATTTCGCAAAGCTATGGAGTAGAAAAACTATTGGAACATCTACGAGCACAATTTCAGGCATATCCACAGAGAGAGACAGAGAGAGAGACCTTGACTCCGTTCGCTGCTCTTGAGTGTTTCGATGTGCTAGAGAGAGTTTTACAGAGAGAGAAAGAGAAAGTTGGCGCCTAAATTGTGCAAATGGTACGGTTTATGTACCGATTGTTCGGGGGTATATTGGTAATTCGAAAATTGAGAGACTAAAATCACCTGTAGTGAAACCTGGTGAGGAGGTGTGCAATTGAGGTAGATTGCATTGATTGAGAAGTAGTCCCATTCAAATTTAATCCAAGATATAAATTTTTTAATTTCGAATTTAACCTAATATGAGTTTTAATTTGAATCCTTCAATTGAGGTATTATCTTAATTCATATTCTTAAAAACTTAGGTTAAACTCAAGTTATGTAGCTCGAGAGTTTCTTTCGAGTTAAGCTCATTACTTATAAATTGTTTAGATTCATCATTTGTTAGTGTGTGTGCGCGTGCTTGCACATGTATAGCTTGAGCATTAGAGTATATGATAAATTATATTTTATATAATTAAAGTTTACAATTAATTTCTATTTGATCCTTGAATTATCAATTAAAACAATCAAATTCTTAAACTTTAAGTTTTACTTTAATTAAGTCCCTAGCTCAAATTCTTTAGGAATTCTAAAGGAAAATAGTCACATGAGTATAATGTGATCCAACTATGACATTAATTTTGAATAAGTTTTTTTTTTTTGGTTTTTTGGTTCAATAATTTGGGGTATCAAAACCAACTTACATGCACCTCAATTAATTCCTTCCGCCATCCGGTCAAAGACAAGTCATCCACGTCAATACTAAGGTATTCACGAGGGATACATCCCTCATGACCTAACACCAATGGGTTGCCAACAAACTCAGAATGTCTAGATAGATTATTGTCACTTGAACTACCTCTTAGGGTTAATTTTGAATAAGTTGACTCTTAAAGTTAGATCATATGTGTTAAAATTACATTTTGTTGACTCATTTGATATAAATTTAAGTACTTCAATTAGATTTATTGGCTCATCTTTTCCAAATTTGATTCATGTTTTTGTAAATTTTAATGTGTGATTGAGACATGTAATGCTCACATAATGCTTTTTCATCATAATTATGTCCGACATTTGAGATAAAGAATTGATTGAAATTAGTCGCAAAGTATAAGGACTTGATTGTTGTAATTGATTATTAAGGGACCAAATAGAAATCAAATATAAACTTTAAGAGTATAAATTGTATTTCACCCTAGAATATGTACACGCATTAGAATCAATTGAACTTGATTTAGTTTGTGAAAATGATTATGAAATAATAAACAGAAGTGCAACTAATACTCATAAAAAATACTAAAACTATAATAAAATAATGATTGGTGGAATCCTGAACTTGTTTTCACTAAATTACTAAACATAAGATTTAATTCATTGAATAGAGCGTGTGTGTGGTCTTTAATGATTTTATAATAAGAAAAAAATGGGATTTGCATGTAATTTTTATCGAAATCGAATAAACATCTTTAAGCATGAAAAATGTGAAAAAAGAGATTAGAAAGCGAATATCAATTGTATATTGGTGTAAATTATTTTATACATGAAGATTTATTTATACTACAAGAGAGTACTGAAATTTCTTAGTTTAACTGATGTGGGACATATATATATACACTAACATTTCCCCCTCAAACTCAAGGAGGTAAAGTTGAAATCAACTTGAGTTTGGAAATCAAATTACAATATCGGTCACGCGGATGTGTCTTGGTGAATATGTCAATAGTCTGGTCAGATAAAGAAACAAAGAGAAGATCAACTGTGCCTCGAACCATATGTTGTCACACAAAATGACAGTGAATTTTAATATGATTGGTGCGACCATGAAAAAACATTATTGCGTGCAATCTATNGCACCTCAATTAATTCCTTCCGCCATCCGGTCAAAGACAAGTCATCCACGTCAATACTAAGGTATTCACGAGGGATACATCCCTCATGACCTAACACCAATGGGTTGCCAACAAACTCAGAATGTCTAGATAGATTATTGTCACTTGAACTACCTCTTAGGGTTAATTTTGAATAAGTTGACTCTTAAAGTTAGATCATATGTGTTAAAATTACATTTTGTTGACTCATTTGATATAAATTTAAGTACTTCAATTAGATTTATTGGCTCATCTTTTCCAAATTTGATTCATGTTTTTGTAAATTTTAATGTGTGATTGAGACATGTAATGCTCACATAATGCTTTTTCATCATAATTATGTCCGACATTTGAGATAAAGAATTGATTGAAATTAGTCGCAAAGTATAAGGACTTGATTGTTGTAATTGATTATTAAGGGACCAAATAGAAATCAAATATAAACTTTAAGAGTATAAATTGTATTTCACCCTAGAATATGTACACGCATTAGAATCAATTGAACTTGATTTAGTTTGTGAAAATGATTATGAAATAATAAACAGAAGTGCAACTAATACTCATAAAAAATACTAAAACTATAATAAAATAATGATTGGTGGAATCCTGAACTTGTTTTCACTAAATTACTAAACATAAGATTTAATTCATTGAATAGAGCGTGTGTGTGGTCTTTAATGATTTTATAATAAGAAAAAAATGGGATTTGCATGTAATTTTTATCGAAATCGAATAAACATCTTTAAGCATGAAAAATGTGAAAAAAGAGATTAGAAAGCGAATATCAATTGTATATTGGTGTAAATTATTTTATACATGAAGATTTATTTATACTACAAGAGAGTACTGAAATTTCTTAGTTTAACTGATGTGGGACATATATATATACACTAACATTTCCCCCTCAAACTCAAGGAGGTAAAGTTGAAATCAACTTGAGTTTGGAAATCAAATTACAATATCGGTCACGCGGATGTGTCTTGGTGAATATGTCAATAGTCTGGTCAGATAAAGAAACAAAGAGAAGATCAACTGTGCCTCGAACCATATGTTGTCACACAAAATGACAGTGAATTTTAATATGATTGGTGCGACCATGAAAAAACATTATTGCGTGCAATCTATATCACACTCCAATTGTCACAACAAATAATAGTAGAACCAGAAATAGCCAAAGAAGCTTCTATGTAGTGTCAGCAAAAGCGCGATATTTTGCTTTTTGTATTGGATTGAGAGATAACAAATTGAGAGAGTCACCTAAAAAGAAATAGTAACCAATAATAGAATCACGATCAGTAGGATCTCCTGCCCAGTTAGCATCAGAATAGACGCGTAGCTCAAGAGATGAGTAAGTAGAGTAATGAAGACCATGAAACATAGTACCCTTAATATATCGTAGAATATGAAGGACAATAGCATAATGACTAGAGGGAGGGGCAGTGAAAAATTGGCTGAAATTGAGATAAGGAGATGAACATCTTATGTTCCTAGAAGATGACATGTTGAGAAACACGAAGAAGCTTGGAATATGGATTCCAATAAAGACAACCCTTGTGTTCAGTCCCATAACCCAAGAAACAACAAAGACGTGTCCGGGTTTCCAACTTGGTACGCTCATGAGGCTGGAATAAGAAAAAACATGCACAACCAAAGCCTCAAAAAGAGTGGTAATCTAGAGAAGTGTCATATAATCACTCATATGGAGATTGATTCCCAATAATATGAAAAGGATGTAATTGATGGTATAGACGACAATAAGAGCAGCTTCACCCTAAAAATGCTCAAGACATAAAGAAGATATGAGACGAGCACAAACAAAATCAAGAATATGACGATATTGTGCTCAGCGCATCCATTTTTGTTGAGATGTGTCAAGACAAGAATGATGAGGAATGGTGTCATGTTGATTGAGAAAGTTAAAGAAAGTGGTATCTCTATATTCCATGGCATTATCAATTCTAAAGACTTTAACGATCGCGAGAATTGAGTTCGGACCATTTTAGTAAAATTATAATAAATTTGTGGCAATTGAGATCAGTTTGCAAAAGATAAATCCAAGTGAAGTAAGAATATTCATTAATAAAAATGACCAAGTATTTTGACCCTCCCATAGTAACAATTGGAGAAGGTCCCTAAATATCATAATGAGCCAAATTAAAAGAGACAAAAGACAAAGAATTACTGTTATTGAAAGGTAAAGCTGACAGTTTTGCAAGTTTACAAGACAAACAATCAAGTTGTTCACTGTGAACATGCTCTAACTGACCACTAAAAATTAAATATTGTAGACGACTTGAAGAAACATGACCTAGGCAGGAATGCCACATATTGAAAGGAGAGTTGGTCGAAGCGGAAGTAGCAACAATAGAGAGGACTAAGAAAAATAGTTGTTGTGGAAGACATAGATGGATAAACTCAAACAAACGTACATGCTTACGGTCTGTCCTATTTGTAGATCTTGGATAACACAACCAGTATAAGAGAACAAAACAGTGACTCTAAGGTCACAAAGTTGACCCACATATATAAGATTGAGAAAAAGATTAGGTATATGACAAGTATTGGGGAGTGACACA